GAGGGAAAAGGAGAGATCATTTGATGCATTGCTCGATCGTTTCAAGTGTTCTTTCTGTAGTTGATTATTCAAGTGTTCCGTTGCACTTGCGGCCGAGCCGCCTGTCAAGGGATCTCGATTAAAATTAGAACCTCGCATATAATTAATTATGCTCAGAACACAGCTGATATATATATAAACGAGAAGCTTGAACCCAGAATTTCATACTTAAAGTTGCTCTGCTTGCTTGCTGCAATATAGGACGTACTTTAATTTTGCAATCATCTTGTTCAAGTCAAATTTGATATAGGCCAATTTGGGCCATTAATTGCTATCGGTCGGTCCTAATACATACATGTTGAATGAAATGGGCCGCCAAATCGTTATTCAACTCCCTGCAATATGACTGGAAAGTCAATGTCATGATACAAATTGCTTTGCAAAGTTATTATCGTTCATTTGACTGTCTCTTAGATGTCATGTCATTCATCCAAATCAAATTCACACCCATACGATAAGGACAAGAAATCGGCCCAAATCCCAGGGAAAACCCAAAGGAGCGGGCCTGCTACAACCAAACTGCGGGGGTCTGGCTGGGCAGCCAATAGCAAAAGAGTAGTGGCTTATCTATGGATATGGATGATGGTGGTGCTGTCGTGCTGTGGATCGCTCACTCCCTTCCGGAACGGATCCTTTCTCCTCTGCGTTCTTGTCTCCTGCTCTAGCATTGAAGTGGTCTCTGGCAAATAGCAGCATTTGGGGGCCGGCCGGCGTTGGGGAATGGCAGCCACACTCTGCTTCCTTCAACTCCCTCTGCTTCCTCCTGCACCAAACCACCGCCACCACCACCGACCATCATTCTCCTTGAGATTCACCCTCACAGCCACCGACCCAATTACCACTACTTCTACTACTAATACAACATCACAACTCTCTCAACAACAACATTCCCCGCAAAAACTCCTGCATCAAACTGTTATTTCTACTTTAAAATCAGCTGCCCTTCCTCTCCTCCCAATTGCATTCCCTTTCTTTCTTGACCCCAAGGCATGTAAGCCCAATTTAAAACAACTTTCAGATTTCATTTGGCTATAGGAATTGGCGGCGCTACAATCAGTTTATTCGTTTCTTTTATATTTTATGGATTTAAACCCCCCCAAAAAAAAAAACAATGAAGGAGTTTACTGCTTACCTGCATACTAGTGGAGGGAGTACAATTGTTGCAGTAGTAATTAATTTCAAATTTGGTAGCATTTCTTGAACTGACTTTGATGAGGGTTGAACTGCAGGATGCAGTTGCAGTTGACGGGAACTTTGGACTTCTTGAAGGGAGGACAATGGCTCTCGTTCATCCCCTTGTCATGGCTAGTTTGTTTCTTTACACCTTATACGCCGGTTATCTTGGCTGGCAATGGCGCCGAGTCCGCACCATACAAACTGAGATTAACGAGCTCAAGAAGCAAGTGCAGCAGGTTCCAGTCTCCCCGGCTGGCACCCCTCCTCCTCAACCCCCGCAGCCGTCCCCTGTTGAGCTCCAAATTCAGCAACTCACCGAGGTCCATCAAAAACACTACTGCCTCCCACCAACCCTTTCTTCTCTTTATTTATTTATTTATTTTAAAGAAACACACACACGCACACAATTTAGTCATCGTATGATTACTAAACCACAAAGCGTATAGTATATGCGATACGACTACCGACCAAAGGGCCAACTCGCTTGTCATTGGAAATAGTATTAATTAATATTCATTTTCTGAATTCAGGAAAGGAAGCAGTTGATTAAAGGCCAATACAGGGATAAGCACTACGATGCTGGTTCCCTTCTACTCGGATTTGGGGTGTTTGGGTCGGTTTTTGGAGCAGTCAACACCTGGTTTCGGACTGGAAAGCTATTTCCGGGACCCCATTTATTTGCAGGGGCAGGTAAAAACGGTGACCTATCTTCTACTTGGTGTAAATTGCCCAAAAAAAAAAAAAAAAGCTTCAACTTTGCGCTTTCGTGCAGATAAAACATATTCTTTCACTCTTTTTTTTTTTTTTTTTTTTCATTTCTGGGCACTTGCTCAAAAGTTTCCTGCTGCAAGAGTTGAGCTCTTTGGGTTTTGATTTTGTCTTGCAATAGGGATAACTGTGCTATGGGCGGCAGCTGCATCCCTTGTACCTGCAATGCAGAAAGGGAACGAAACTGCCAGAAATCTTCATATTGCGCTCAACTCCCTAAATGTTATCCTCTTCATTTGGCAGATTCCCACTGGAATTGACATTCTCTTCAGAGCGGTTGAGTTCACCAACTGGCCTTGAACTATTTGGTCTTGCTGAGTTATATCTAGCACCATCTAGTATCACAACTTATATGCCCATATAATCTAATGTTATTCCAATTCAGGTATGTTGACGTTATTAGGAGTGAAGTCTTCTAGTAGTATATGATTCGGTCTGTAAAAATGAATGCTTCGAGTTGGGATTTTGCTTCTCAGTAAGTGTCATCCTTTGAACTGGATGCATAGTGTAAATCAAGCAATCAGTTTGTCATCTCAAGCTCCAACTGTTTGATTGAACTAGTCTTGCTCTCTTATCGACTGGTGGAGTCCTCCAACTCTCATCCAGTTTGACTCACTTGCTGTTTCCTTTATTGGAATACATGTTATCAAAAGAAAGCTGGTATGATTTTGTAGTTATCATCTGATCGCAACCTCATATTCTCTGGAAAGTTTTGTGAACCCGAGAATGTTAGACAGATGGGTGATTAATCTCCATGTTAATCAAGCTATGCTGAGAAACTGGAGCTGACTTGGCAAGGCAATGATTAATCCCCATCTGATCGCAACTCTATCCTATTGTTTTAGCAGCAACGGATTTGCGCTTGATGTTGCGGTTGAGCATACAAACCCCTACTATCAAAGTACAAAAGGAGGAGGACAGGAGGTATTACAACAACTAATACCTATGATACAAGAAATTCTGACGTGATGCGATTCAGGTTGTTAGAATTTGGCTTTGGAATGAAACGGTATAAGATAAAACCGAAAGCTGTTAATACTACTATAATCAACCAGTCTGACAGCTCCTTCCTCCTAGAATGAAAAAGGAACTGTGCCCTCCGTAGTTTTAGTGTTTGCAGGCCGCAATAGATGGTCTACAAATTGAAGTATCTGAGAGCTGAACAACAAGGCTTGCTCTCCATACACATTTCTCATCGAGTAGTACTGATAGTATGCATATATGTACAAGAAGATTGTAGGACAGCGTAGAATGGTTGGTTGAATGAGGATTTAAATTGCATGTGCTGTTTGAATTTGCAGTCAATCCACCTTACCAGCTAATGGTGATGCACAAGTGATTTTTGTTTTATCAATAAGATCAGGAGAAAAGTAAATAAGATTGGAAGGGTAGGGAGCGAGGTGAGGACATGGGGGCTTGGAAGTTTGAACAAGAATTTCTGCACCTATTGTACTAGGTCCATAATTAAAAAGAAAAGAAACAAAAAGAGTTTTAGGCTGTAAAGAGCTGAACCCAATCCATCCTTCACACGGATTTGTAAAAGATACGGTAATAACGAGGAAAAGGGTTAGTATTTCGATGATATTCTCTTGCTAAATAAACTTGATTTATGAAATGTCCTGTATGCAATTTTTACAACGGTTGCCTTCTCAGGTAAAAGAATGGTGCGGAAGGGCTGAACAGAGCATCTGACTTCAAGAGGTTAGCCTCTTCAGTCGTACAATATTCTTGGCCTTGCATTGGCTAATGGCTGGCTAGGACTAGGAGGGCATCAAAGAAACTGACAAGGGAAGAAAGCACGTCGGCATAACAAATAAATCAAATTTCATTCAGTTACTAATCAATAATTCGTGATACCATTGCCAAATGAGACGACAGAAACAAAAAGAGATGGCTGCATTAAAAAGGCAAAAGTACTAGTCCCTTCAGGAAGGTAGAGATGATGGGATGGTAGAGGAATCCCTCTGAGGGGCATCTCGAAAAGCCCAGAAATGGGACCAAGCCGAAGGAAAAAGGAAGAAGATTGCATGGCAATTGGCATCGCACCATACATTCTCAACAAGCAAAGTCAAAGATAGAGACAGAATTGTGGTTCAATGGTCCGGGAAAGGCGTTTAGGAATCTCAATGCCAAAAAAAAAAAAAAAAGCACCTTCTCAATGCGTTTCCTTAATAGTCCCTTTTTGTGCTCGCTAGGAAACTCAAAAGATAATACGGCGCAATATGCAAAGCAAAGTCATGAAAGTAATCGGTTTAAGTACTTAAATATTCGTCCGCCAGCAGCAGCGCACTGGCACTGGCACTGGCACTGGCGCTGGAACTGCATCCAGATATGCACCGCACCACTGTTTTTGCAGCAGTTGGTGGTGCGCATGAGCCGCAAATAGCAGCACAAGTTGCTGCAGACAACAGCTTAATCCCGAGGAGACAGATGCTGGACGGACTTTACTTTCTTCTTATACAAATTTACACCTTTACTTCAACGTTACAAAGGTTTCGAAAATGTTTATTTGCTTGAAGCTTCAACGTGATCTTAGAAGGGAGCCGAATATCTGCTAATCAGACTGAGACCGTCATGGGCCCAAAAGCGACGTTGCCTTTTCTTGCAAGGCTTGGTTCTTTAATTCTTTTTGGTGAATGGTGATCCCTCCGGAGTCCCCCAGCTAGCTGCATCAGATGCCTTTCTTCCTGTCTTCCCACCCTGACGATGGATCACCGCATTGATGCATGCTTGTTGATTTGTCTCGCTTTACCCGCCGCTTCACAAATTGCTAGTTGCTGAACATCAGTATAAATAAATGAGTGTGCATCAGAACTTTTAACTCCTCGTGTTCACCCAATTCATTAATTCCTTTGGTAGTGAGTAGTATTATCAAGCATGCAAGGCAGGCTGACACTCGAATAGTACTCCCGACCAGAATACGTAGTGCTTACTATACTGCTCCTTCCTTCCTTCCTTCCTAGCATCCTACTCCTACCGCCCCGCCTGATTCATTTTTATTTCAGGTAGAGACCAAAATGTCTACCCAACAGCAGCCTCGGCCATGGTTCCGTTTGGCTAACATAATGCGCCCAGCACCTCCACCTGCACCTGCACCACCACCGCCTCTTGCACGTCCCCCTGCTCCAACACCTTCACTGCAAGCCCCACCTCCTATTTCACCCTTCAGGCCCCCTGTAGCTCTGCCTCGGCCTCTGCCACCTGCTCCACCGAATTTGCCTGTTGCTTCACCCCCTTCTGTAACCCCTACAACCCCAAGCTCCCCTCAGATCTCCAGTACTAGAGCACCTCCACCATCGCCACGACCACAACCAACACCTCCGGCTCCAAGCCCCTCCCCCACGCCTCCAAAATCCCCTACCCCCTCCATAACTAGGTCGCCTGATGCACCCCCTCCTAAACCTGGATCTTCGTCGCCATTAGCATCTCCAATAATCAAAACTGCATCAGCGGAAACGTCTTCGGCTGCACGTCCAGTTGTATCCTCTCCATCTTTATCAGCATCCCCAAAAACTAAACCCCCATCACCGCCCTCTTCAACAATAGCATTGCCAGCCTCTCCTGCTCCAAAAACATTGCTCTATTCAGGCCCTCCCACTGCAGCACCAGTCCCTCCACCACCTTCTCCAGTTGCAGCCACCGCCGCAAGACCTCGTGCTGCACCCAGCCCGAGGGTGAAAAGCAGTACACCTCCTCCTAATCACGCTCAATCCACCATTGTGAAACCTTCATCTCATCCTCCATCTCCACTAACACTGCCTCCGCCTCAACTCAGGGCTGACGCAACCAGTCATGATTATGATCTGGAACCAATACCCCCAGAAGCTGTGCAGAAAACAGTGCTAACGCAAGATGATACCAATCATGAAAAGGCGCCAAAGATTGATCCCACAAAGTCGTCGTCCTCCCCCTCCTCCGGGGGGAAAGAGAGACAAGTTAAGAAAGACAAAGGAGCAATGACGACTTACAAGGACAAAAAGAATCATAATAATAAATCAGCTGTTTCTTCACCAGAGCTTGGCATGAGAGTCGTAACACTTGCAGGTGACAACAAAGGAGCTGTTATGGAATTGAGCCCAGGAGCTTCCCGCAAGAAGTACGATTCTGGGCAACATTTTTGGGGTAAAAATGGCCAGAAATTGGGAAGCCATGAGAAGGAGGAGGAGGACGGCAGGCATTCTGATGACGGTGGGATAAAGAATGGAAGAGGCGAAATGGGAAGGAGCAAATTAGTGGCAGCTCCACCGCCCCCAGTGGACGCCTTTGTGAACAGTAACGTCCAGGGAGTCAACAATTCCATTGTCTACAACTGCACCTACGGCAACCGTGATCCTGGAGTCCATCTCTCGGTGTCTAGGAAGGGCAATGGCCGCCACCACCAGCAGGACGCCGGCCATTATAATGTTCATCTTGACTAGTCTAGGCACAGTGCCTGAATGATCAAGGGAGCATAGGAAGTTATGCGTATTTATATTTGGTTGCATGATTCGTGGTATTTTAAATCTTAAAGCGGCTGGGGCCTGGCTCGCTAATAATTGTTGCACTTTTCTGCAACCTCTTCCGGTCAGTCATAATGTTGTATTTGAAAACTTTGAGCGTGCATCTTCTTGATTCCATTATCAACGAACAATTTCATCTCCCCGTTTTACTTGCTTCTTCTCTTTTCTTTTTGGATCAGGCAATTTTTTTTTTAAGGATTGGATTGGATTGGATCTGGCAATTAAATCTATGCTTTCTTTTCTCGTTAATTAATAGGAGTACCTTTTTGATTTCAGAAGGTATAAACCGAAAAAAGTGATTCCACGTTTTCTTCTTTCTTGGGTTTGGTCCTTCTGTTTGCGGCCCGTTTTGAGAAATTGAAGTCATTACACGGTGTTTTGGGCAAACACTTGGGTAGCGTAGATTCAGCGGCCCAAATTTTGCAACACCTGATCTTGTAGAGTGTGGCCCAAATTTTGCCACACTATTACAAAATCAAGCCAACTTAAAAACATATCATTAACAGTTGAGTAATCAAATCTTAACATTCGAAAAGTTCAATAACTACCTAAGTAATTTGCTCATATATATATATATATATCCTATCCTACACTACATAAACCGTGGAAGGTCGATGAATAGTGATCTGTGTCGGCTATTTTGTAATTTGGTTCACATTTTTCCCCTTTATTGTCTTTTTTGAGCTGCAAGCTTCTTTGGGTACTATTTTCCTTCGATTCATTTCCCCTTGTTGATTTTCTTTTAGACTATTTTGTCCTTTTGTCCTGGGTATCCTGTTATTTATACATGCATTTTGGACATCGTGGTTTTTTTCATGCTTTGAGGGCAGCATATGTTTCTCATCATTCTGTTCCTCGCAAGATAACCATTGTCTTCAAGCAAAATCCATTTATGCACATATTTGCCTGCCGCCATTTTTACTCTGGTTTTGAGCATCTATGAACTGAAGCAGTTCTTTGTATAGATGTCATTGCCAGCATATAGTGCATGCATGCCGCGTGTATTTTGCTTGGATAATCAGCTGCATTGAGCTTATCTTTCAGTGTTATTCAGTTTGAGATTTGAGCCATCTTGTTTCATCTGCATTAGATGTTAGTGTCAGGTTTCTCCATTATCCATATTGCGCTCTGTAGTTTATCGGTTTCAATTTGTTTTTTGAGCTATCTGTGTGCCTCTTCTGTTTGTGTTCCACTCTGTTTCTTAGCAACTCCACTCTTCTTGCATAAACGTCATTAATGTTATATATATTGCATGCATGCCGCGTGTATTTTGCATGGATAGACAGCTATCTCCAGCTAATCTTTCATTCTTATTACATTAGACATTTGAGCCATCTTATCTCATCTGTACTCCTCGTTGATGTGAAATTTCTCCATTAATCTCATTGCTTTTCTTTTTATCTTCTATATCTTCTGTCTTTTGTATAAACTATACAAATCTTATGTGCTTTTGCTTTATTTGCCTCTTGCTTTTTGTCTTCCTTTCTGTTACTGGTGAGTTACGATCTTAATTTATCTCTCCTTTGTCTCACTTTTTTCTGTGTCTATGCTTTTTGCTTGTGATGAATTTTTCCATGCATATTGTGTTCTGTATACATATGTTTTTCTTTCTCTCTTTTAACCAGCTTTCAGAGTTGTCGCCCTTACTTTTCTTTGTGATTTTTGAATAGTTGAACATTTTTTCCATTTCTCTGCTATGGTATTTTTATACCTTTCCACCTTTTACTTCTGCTCCTAGTTATTTTACCTTAAGGTACTTTAGCTTAAGAATTAATATTTTGCAGTTTTCCCTTCTGCAAATATGTTTACTCATAATTTCTGTTTCTCTTTTTTCTTGAACCCTTATAATTTCCTGTGTTATTTATGATTTCCTATATTTCTGTTTTTTTACGGCAAGAACGTTTTTTGCTATTTTTTACTCTTTTGCTCTGTACTATTTATTGTCGCTTTCTATTTGTGTCAAAAATGTTGACATTCCTTTGTTTTATGTTTTTTTTTGCATCAGCTGCCTTCTATCTGATTTACATTCTGGACTTTTGTTGCACCGCTTTGGAGGTATTGGCATTTCTTTTAAACTCAAAATTTGCATGTTCATCCATTATCTGCATAGTTTACTCTGACTGTGTGGTTTTGCTCCATAATTTACTCTGATTTTGTGGCTTTGCTTATGTTTCGTTTACATGCAATCATCATTCGCAATTTCTTTTAGCTCTAATATTTCTATATTTTTCCTCCTTCCATAAATTTTCTTCTTTGAAGTTATTATCTGTCTTATACTATAACAAACTTGCTATCACATCTATTATGGCCTCTATGCTTTTTCCTTTGAAGAGCCATTTTCTAATATGGGCCGAAAACGCAAGTATATCTCTGAAGATGAATATCGTATACAAGCTAATGAGCGCCAGCGTGAAAGATATGCTAAAAAAGTAGCAGAGAAACAGAAGCACATACAAGAGAGTGGTGAACATCAAAACAAAGATAGCTGCAACACAGATGTTGTGCCTGTTTCTTCAGCAAATCATACACTTGTTGATGTGCCTGTTGACAATCATGTATCACTTTTAGCTTTATTGAAAGCTAAGTGTATGTGCTTTGAAATGCCTGTCGTTGATCTTTCTGATAAGCTAATCTGCATTCTAGCTCGACAAATGATGCTATTGAATAGCTGTTACAGCAATTGACCATGTGTTTTTTTGATAACACCATTTCTTCCATTATTTTTGAAACAAATACCCTGAGCTATTCTTCACCTCTGTTATCAACTCTTCTATATGAAGGCTCCTCGTCCACTAGCAATCCATAGCATTCAACTGGTAGCTATATACTTTAAATTCCTGCATGAAAATTTGTCTGTGCTCCTGTTTTGGGTCTTTTACAGTCTGTCTATTCTTCCAATTAGTTAGAAGCACCTGTATTTCATATGGTATAGGTGTGCATCACAGAAGAAGGAATATACCATTATTAGAACGAATACCATTTGAGCCAAGTGTTTTGCCAAAGGTTCCAGATTGTATGTTTTGTCGTGCTAAACGATTTTATATGGAACCACCGAGATTTTGTTGTTCAGCAGGTGAAATTCGTTTAGTAGAAACTGAAATGCCAGATAAATTGGTTCACCTTTATAAGGCGAATACTCCTGAAGCTAGAGAGTTTCGATTGTGCATCTGAAGTTACAACAATATATTTGCCTTCTTCTCTTTGGCCATGCATTGCTTTATGCTTTGTCCCAACTTTTAATTAATTCCCTCCATAAGAGTAAGGAGAGTAGTAGCCTAGTACTAATACTACTATGCATATGCCACCGGGCACTGATCAATAGGAAGTTTTGGGAGTTCTATTATTATTAGATAGATACACAGAAACAGCAGCATCACGACAATCATTTATCTTCTGATCCTCCTCCTCCCACATGCTATTTGTGGGTTGGGTACGTACGTGCATTTTCCAACTAATAATAATGATGGAAACTTACCAAACTCACTCTCAAGTCAGTTTGCTCATTGTCTTCTATCATAAAAGAGCTTTCTTCACCTTCACTTGTTCTAGCTTGACCCCCTCCTCCTCCAGGATCGGAGATCAGTAGTGCCCAGGCTCAGTACTTGTCGTCCAAGCTCAGATAATTGTAGGTAGCACCTAGCAGTCGCTGCAAAAAAGACCAGCGAGTAGACGGTACTCCGGATATAAATATATATATATATATATATATATATATATATATATATATATATATATATATAATACTCGATCAGAAGCTAGCTTAATTTTGTCCACCAGCTCTCTCTTGATTAGTAGTTGCCAGCCACTGCAGTTGAGTCCTGTTCGGCAGAGGTGAACTGGGAAAAATGGAAGAGGTGAAGAATGGCACGGAAGGTAGCAGGGGTGGCCATGATCATGTGAAGAAGGACGACAATGTTGGAGATCAGATCAATGAAAAGGTAGACTATGTGTTCAAGGTGGTGGTGATCGGAGACTCTGCGGTGGGCAAGTCTCAGATACTGTCCAGGTTTACCAAGAATGAGTTCTGCTTCGATTCCAAATCCACCATTGGAGTCGAGTTCCAGACCAGGACTGCCAACATCAACTCCAAAGTCGTCAAGGCCCAGATCTGGGATACTGCTGGCCAAGAAAGGTACCCCATCACTACCTACCCTCCACATGTAATGCAATTAACAGTCCTCTCTCATCTCTCTGTTTCTATTATCATCACTTCAAGTTTATGCCAGTAGTAATTTGTTAATATCCCTATACTTTTCCGATTACATCTTTTGAAGCTTCGTTTCATATTCGGGGTATTGAATTAATTGCACAGCTAAAAATTGCCACACACACATGACACACCCACTTACTTAAAACTATAATCTGACTTAGGTACTTGTATGTTCAATTCATTTTTTTTTCCTTCTGGAGAAACATATAGTATATATACTATATGTTACAGAGCATATTTTTTTCTCTGTTAGTATATTTTTATTAAGATTTGGTTACTGAGTAGTAGTTTTCTTCCTTGTGGATTCAAAATCATGGCTGGTGATGTCCCTGGAAAATTGTATATAGTATCATATGCTGTGGTGGGTAGTAAGTAATATAGCAAGCTTATACATGTGCACATATATGAATGCGTGAATCGACTAAAATAAATCCAGCGAAAGTTGGGTCCCAAAATGAGAACTATGAATCCAACTAATCACAGAAGCTTTCTGTACAAAAATCCCAATTCCTCCTTCACCTAACTCGGCAACATTATTGACTCCACGGCTGTACATAAATTGGTTGGCCTCCATTATTGCTCGCCATGCATCTCATCCCACATCCTAGCTAGCGTGCGTAGTAGTGAAATCAAATATTTATTTCGAGCGTTTGTTTCTTTACTTTAAATCTCGTGAGAACGCTATTTTATTCCTCCCCCCCCCCCCCCCTCTCAAACCTCAATCATTTTGCTGTACAATAAATGTTTGAAGCTCTCTAGAGAAATGCATACTTTTATCCCAATTTCCACTCCCAACTAAGAAAACAAGAAAATTATGCAATGGATTGCATATTTGTCTCAAGAGATTTTTACTTCATCCCAATTTCCAATGTCAATAAAAATTTAACTTTTACCAAACGAAGAAAAATAATCTGATAATATCCTCTTTACTGAAAAACAAACAATCAAAGCTGCTATTTTGTTGACGCAACAAAAAGAATGCCAGACGTTGGAATATGGAAAGCCATTCAAAGCCTATAGTTTGATGGATTATTATCACTTTACCCCCTTATTAAATCACCATGTTATTATCAATTTACCCACTCAAACTATAATACCAGTGCCCCTTTCAATTTACTAGTCACTTTATCGTCCATAGTTAAATCAACTCAGTTTGACAAATTTTGGACAAAAATATCGTTCTCTCTTATAATACCACTATATTGTTATTATCGTTTTACCCCCTTAAACTATAGTGACTATTAGTTTAATTCCACGAGCATTATGCTCTAAGTTGCTTCAGAAAAGCTAGAAAATCAATCAAAACAAGTCCTAGGTTGCTTGTGGATTAATGTGATTGCAGCTTCCTTTTTCTTTTAAAGGCCCGTGCAATTGATTATTTAGGTTGCTTTCTTAACGAAGTTATTACTTATGAGAAGTCTTATATGCTTTCAACAACCATTTTTATAAAATCAACTACTAGTACTACATGAGATGACAGTGCTTTGCAATTGGCAATTAATTATGGTGGTTTCGCTCTCATTTATCAACCATCAACAACGTATATAACTTGTGCGGAGGATACTGCTTTCATGGAAGTTGAACAAGAAACGAGTGCAGCCAGAGATTAACATAGTATAAAGTAAATTAAATAGCGGGGAAGGAAGTTGAATCAATAGTAAGTATTTACACAACACTGCAGGTACCGAGCTGTGACGAGTGCATACTACAGAGGTGCGCTGGGGGCCATGTTGGTGTACGACATTACCAAAAGGCAGTCATTTGATCATGTAGCCAGATGGGTGGAGGAACTGAGGGCTCATGCAGATAACTCCATCGTCATCGTGCTGGTCGGAAACAAAGCTGATCTCGTGGACTTGAGGACCGTGCCGGCGGAGGACGCCTTGGAGTTTGCAGAAAACCAGGGCCTGTTATTCTTTGAGACATCAGCACTTAACGGTGACAATGTGGACGCTGCGTTCTTTAAGCTCCTCGAGGAGATACACAACGCGGTGTCCAAGAAGTGTTTGGATAGCCGCGGCGCCGGTGGAATCTGGGCCAATGCCACCGACCAAGGTTCCTTCAAGGGATTGAAAATTGATGTCATTTCTAGTGCAGAATTTGAAGTCAGTGAGATGAAGAAATCGTCCTCTTGTTCTTGCTAAATAATTTCATGTTGCTGTACTTAACTGTCCGTATATTGATTCTACTACTGCTACTACTTCACAAGGGAATATTGGAGGGAAAAGGAGAGATCATTTGATGCATTGCTCGATCGTTTCAAGTGTTCTTTCTGTAGTTGAGTATTCAAGTGTTCCGTTGCACTTGCAGCCGAGCCGCCTGTCAAGAGATCTCCATTAAAATTAGAACCTCGCATATAATTAATTATGATCAGAACAAAGCTGATATTCATACTTAGTTGCTCTGCTTGCTTGCTGCAATTGAGGACGTACTTAAATTTTGCCATCATCTTGTTCAAGTCAAATTTGATATAGACCAATTTGGGCCATTAATTGCTATCGGTCGGTCCTAATACATACATGACTGGAATGAAATGGGCCGCCAAGTCGTTATTCAACTCCTTGCAACATGACTGGAAAGTTAATGTCATGATACAAATTGCTTTGCAGAGTCATTATCGTTCATTTGACTGTCTCTTAGATGTCATGTCATTCATCCAAATCAAATTCACACCCATACGATAAGGACAAGAAATCGGCCCAAATCCCCGGGAAAACCTAAAGGAGCGGGCCTGCTACAACCAAACTGCGGGGGTCTGGCTGGGCAGCCAATAGCAAAAGAGTAGTGGCTTATCTCTGGATATGGATGATGGTGGTGCTGTCGTGCTGTGGATCGCTCACTTCCTTCCGGAACGGATCCTTTCTCCTCTGCGTTCTTGTCTCCTGCTCTAGCATTGAAGTGGTCTCTGGCAAATAGCAGCATTTGGGGGCCGGCCGGCGTTGGGGAATGGCAGCCACACTCTGCTTCCTTCAACTCCCTCTGCTTCCTCCTGCACCAAACCACCACCACCGACCATCATCCTCCTTGAGATTCACCCTCACAGCCACCGACCCAATTACCACTACTTCTACTACTAATACAACATCACAGCTCTCTCAACAACAACAACATTCCCCGCAAAAACTCCTGCATCAAACTGTTATTTCTACTTTAAAATCAGCTGCCCTTCCTCTCCTCCCACTTGCATTCCCTTTCTTTCTTGACCCCAAGGCATGTAAGCGCAATTTAAAACAACTTTCAGATTTCATTTGGCTATAGGAATTGGCGGCGCTACAATCAGTTTATTCGTTTCTTTTATTTTTTATGGATTTAAACCACCAAAAAAAAAAAAAAAAAAAAAAACAATGAAGGAGTTTACTGCTTACCTGCATACTAGTGGAGGGAGTACAATTGTTGCAGTAGTAATTAATTTCAAATTTGGTAGCATTTCTTGAACTGACTTTGATGAGAATTGAACTGCAGGATGCAGTTGCAGTTGACGGGAACTTTGGACTTCTTGAAGGCAGGACAATGGCTCTCGTTCATCCCCTTGTCATGGCTAGTTTGTTTCTTTACACCTTATACGCCGGTTATCTTGGCTGGCAATGGCGCCGAGTCCGCACCATACAAACTGAGATTAACGAGCTCAAGAAGCAGGTGCAGCAGGTTCCAGTCTCCCCGGCTGGCACCCCTCCTCCTCAACCCCCGCAGCCGTCCCCTGTTGAGCTCCAAATTCAGCAACTCACCGAGGTCCATCAAAAACACTTCTGCCTCCCACCAACCCTTTCTTCTCTTTATTTATTTATTTTTTTTTAAAGAAACACACACACGCACACAATTTAGTCATCGTATGATTACTAAACCACAAATCTTATAGTATATGCGATACGACTACCGACCAAAGGGCCAACTCGCTTGTCATTGGAAATAGTATTAATTAATGTTCATTTTCTGAATTCAGGAAAGGAAGCAGTTGATTAAAGGCCAATACAGGGATAAGCACTACGATGCTGGTTCCCTTCTACTCGGATTTGGGGTGTTTGGGTCGGTTTTTGGAGCAGTCAACACCTGGTTTCGGACTGGAAAGCTATTTCCGGGACCCCATTTATTTGCAGGGGCAGGTAAAAACGGTGACCGATCTTCTACTTGGTGTAAATTGCCCAAAAAAAAAAAAGCTTCAACTTTGCGCTTTCGTGCAGATAAAACATATTCTTTCACTCTTTACCCTTTTTTTTTTTTTTTTTTCATTTCTGGGCACTTGCTCAAAAGTTTCCTGCTGCAAGAGTTGAGCTCTTTGGGTTTTGATTTTGTCTTGCAATAGGGATAACTGTGCTATGGGCGGCAGCTGCATCCCTTGTACCTGCAATGCAGAAAGGGAACGAAACTGCCAGAAATCTTCATATTGCGCTCAACTCCCTAAATGTTATCCTCTTCATTTGGCAGATTCCCACTGGAATTGACATTCTCTTCAGAGCGGTTGAGTTCACCAACTGGCCTTGAACTATTTGGTCTTGCTGAGTTATATCTAGCACCATCTAGTATCACAACTTATATGCCCATATAATCTAATGTTATTCCAATTCAGGTATGTTGACGTTATTAGGAGTGAAGTCTTCTAGTAGTATATGATTCGGTCTGTAAAAATGAATGCTTCGAGTTGGGATTTTGCTTCTCAGTAAGTGTCATCCTTTGAACTGGATGCATAGTGTAAATCAAGCAATCAGTTTGTCATCTCAAGCTCCAACTGTTTGATTGAACTAGTCTTGCTCTCTTATCGACTGGTGGAGTCCTCCAACTCTCATCCAGTTTGACTCACTTGCTGTTTCCTTTATTGGAATACATGTTATCAAAAGAAAGCTGGTATGATTTTGTAGTTATCATCTGATCGCAACCTCATATTCTCTGGAAAGTTTTGTGAACCCGAGAATGTTAGACAGATGGGTGATTAATCTCCATGTTAATCAAGCTATGCTGAGAAACTGGAGCTGACTTGGCAAGGCAATGATTAATCCCCATCTGATCGCAACTCTATCCTATTGTTTTAGCAGCAACGGATTTGCGCTTGATGTTGCGGTTGAGCATACAAACCCCTACTATCAAAGTACAAAAGGAGGAGGACAGGAGGTATTACAACAACTAATACCTATGATACAAGAAATTCTGACGTGATGCGATTCAGGTTGTTAGAATTTGGCTTTGGAATGAAACGGTATAAGATAAAACCGAAAGCTGTTAATACTACTATAATCAACCAGTCTGACAGCTCCTTCCTCCTAGAATGAAAAAGGAACTGTGCCCTCCGTAGTTTTAGTGTTTGCAGGCCGCAATAGATGGTCTACAAATTGAAGTATCTGAGAGCTGAACAACAAGGCTTGCTCTCCATACACATTTCTCATCGAGTAGTACTGATAGTATGCATATATGTACAAGAAGATTGTAGGACAGCGTAGAATGGTTGGTTGAATGAGGATTTAAATTGCATGTGCTGTTTGAATTTGCAGTCAATCCACCTTACCAGCTAATGGTGATGCACAAGTGATTTTTGTTTTATCAATAAGATCAGGAGAAAAGTAAATAAGATTGGAAGGGTAGGGAGCGAGGTGAGGACATGGGGGCTTGGAAGTTTGAACAAGAATTTCTGCACCTATTGTACTAGGTCCATAATTAAAAAGAAAAGAAACAAAAAGAGTTTTAGGCTGTAAAGAGCTGAACCCAATCCATCCTTCACACGGATTTGTAAAAGATACGGTAATAACGAGGAAAAGGGTTAGTATTTCGATGATATTCTCTTGCTAAATAAACTTGATTTATGAAATGTCCTGTATGCAATTTTTACAACGGTTGCCTTCTCAGGTAAAAGAATGGTGCGGAAGGGCTGAACAGAGCATCTGACTTCAAGAGGTTAGCCTCTTCAGTCGTACAATATTCTTGGCCTTGCATTGGCTAATGGCTGGCTAGGACTAGGAGGGCATCAAAGAAACTGACAAGGGAAGAAAGCACGTCGGCATAACAAATAAATCAAATTTCATTCAGTTACTAATCAATAATTCGTGATACCATTGCCAAATGAGACGACAGAAACAAAAAGAGATGGCTGCATTAAAAAGGCAAAAGTACTAGTCCCTTCAGGAAGGTAGAGATGATGGGATGGTAGAGGAATCCCTCTGAGGGGCATCTCGAAAAGCCCAGAAATGGGACCAAGCCGAAGGAAAAAGGAAGAAGATTGCATGGCAATTGGCATCGCACCATACATTCTCAACAAGCAAAGTCAAAGATAGAGACAGAATTGTGGTTCAATGGTCCGGGAAAGGCGTTTAGGAATCTCAATGCCAAAAAAAAAAAAAAAAGCACCTTCTCAATGCGTTTCCTTAATAGTCCCTTTTTGTGCTCGCTAGGAAACTCAAAAGATAATACGGCGCAATATGCAAAGCAAAGTCATGAAAGTAATCGGTTTAAGTACTTAAATATTCGTCCGCCAGCAGCAGCGCACTGGCACTGGCACTGGCACTGGCGCTGGAACTGCATCCAGATATGCACCGCACCACTGTTTTTGCAGCAGTTGGTGGTGCGCATGAGCCGCAAATAGCAGCACAAGTTGCTGCAGACAACAGCTTAATCCCGAGGAGACAGATGCTGGACGGACTTTACTTTCTTCTTATACAAATTTACACCTTTACTTCAACGTTACAAAGGTTTCGAAAATGTTTATTTGCTTGAAGCTTCAACGTGATCTTAGAAGGGAGCCGAATATCTGCTAATCAGACTGAGACCGTCATGGGCCCAAAAGCGACGTTGCCTTTTCTTGCAAGGCTTGGTTCTTTAATTCTTTTTGGTGAATGGTGATCCCTCCGGAGTCCCCCAGCTAGCTGCATCAGATGCCTTTCTTCCTGTCTTCCCACCCTGACGATGGATCACCGCATTGATGCATGCTTGTTGATTTGTCTCGCTTTACCCGCCGCTTCACAAATTGCTAGTTGCTGAACATCAGTATAAATAAATGAGTGTGCATCAGAACTTTTAACTCCTCGTGTTCACCCAATTCATTAATTCCTTTGGTAGTGAGTAGTATTATCAAGCATGCAAGGCAGGCTGACACTCGAATAGTACTCCCGACCAGAATACGTAGTGCTTACTATACTGCTCCTTCCTTCCTTCCTTCCTAGCATCCTACTCCTACCGCCCCGCCTGATTCATTTTTATTTCAGGTAGAGACCAAAATGTCTACCCAACAGCAGCCTCGGCCATGGTTCCGTTTGGCTAACATAATGCGCCCAGCACCTCCACCTGCACCTGCACCACCACCGCCTCTTGCACGTCCCCCTGCTCCAACACCTTCACTGCAAGCCCCACCTCCTATTTCACCCTTCAGGCCCCCTGTAGCTCTGCCTCGGCCTCTGCCACCTGCTCCACCGAATTTG